CTGCGGTTTGGTGGGGGCGACCGCCTGGCACTGGATGAGGTCTTCGGGGGGAGGGACGGGGAGTACGACAGGAGGGGAGCTCCAAGCGTCTTTGTTTACTAAGAGAACGTCGATGGGACCGGTCGTGCTCTTCAGGTGGATCTGGTATTTCTTCTGCCCGTTTAAGCCCTGAAAAAAGGCCGAAGCGAAACGCAACCACGCGTGAAATGCCCGCTCCGAACACAAATTTCCACTCCACACCATTCCCCTGACTCCCAGGACTGTCCTCTTCCCCCTGTGCTCCTGCAATGACTCGCGTTCTTCCAAACAACGGAGCCTCCTGGTGATTATTTAATAACCAGACGCTTCCTTGGGCTACCAATGCACAGAATCACAGAATGTTGGGGTTGGAAGGGACCTCTGAAGATCATCTAGTCCAACCTTCATCCCAGCATACCCAACCACTACACCACAGCCTCAAGTGCTAGATCTGCTTTTTCTTTAAACACCTCCAGGGTTGGTGACTCCACCACCTCCCTGGGCAGCCTGTTCCAGTGCCTCACCACTCGTTCAGGAAAGAACTTCCTCCCAATATCCAATCTAAACTTACCCTGATGCAACTTGAGGCCATTTCCCCTTGTCCTGTCATTAGTAATTAGAGAGAAGAGACCAGCACCAGCCTCACTACAGCCTCCTTTTAGGTAGCTGTAGAGGGCAAGAAGGTCTCCTCTCAGCCTCCTCTTCTCCAGACTAAACAAACCCAGCTCCCTCAGCCGCTCTTCACAGGGCAGGTTTTCCAGACCTCTCACAAGCCTTGTTGCCCTTCTCTGCACCCGCTCCAGCACCTCGATGTCCTTCTTGTACTGTGGTGACCAAAACTGGACACAGTACTCCTCCCACCATCCCCTGACCACCAACTCCCGTCAACTTGTCAACTCAGCAACAGCCCCTGTCCCGACACACGGATCTCTCACCTCGGGGACGGGAACCTCCAGACGCGTGCCTGACGGGGCTCGAATCGCCAGGAGGGTGTCTCCTGTGAACAGAGGCTGGTGAGCGCTCAGCAGGCACAAGCTGTTCCGACGACAACGAAGTGCTGACGAAGAGCCCCTCCCCAAAGCGCCCTCTCCCCCGTGCCCTTTCCCGGGGAGGATTGCCATTTACACCCACCCGACCCGAAGCACAGAATCGTTTTGGTTGGAAAAGACCTTTGTGAGCGTTGAGTCCAACCATTAACCAGTCTCTCAATGATGAAGAACCTGCAAAGCTGCTCTCAAACCAACCCTGAGGATTTTTAGCAGCGTCCTTAGCAGGATTGACCTTCCTGTCCCTCAGAAAGCCAGCGCTGTGAACATTAGACGCCTTCAGAGCGAGCACTTAGAAGCTTTCATTTCGACTGTTTCAGCTTTCGTGTGGTGAGTATTCACACTTCAGAGGTGATTCTGTGCTAATCTCCACGGGATAATTAACAAAGATCCCCAGAGCGATGAGAGAGTGGACAGCGAAAGAGTGCGTCCTTTAATTGCAGGCAGGTAAAGGCCAGACTGGCAAAAGGTTGAGTCATTAAAAATACCACAGGATTTCTCAGGAAGATTCTCTTAATAAGCCTGCACTTTGTAAAAATAATCAAGAGATATTGAAAATGCATAAAAAAGCTCAAAAGACACGAGCTCAAGCTTTAAGATCTGTTAGTTTTGAATACAGGTGCTGCATTTTTATCTCTCATTTAGCTATGTCCCAAACACTTTGTCCTAACTCACTCGGAGAAAGCGAGCGCTATGGCAGTCAGTCGGAAAAACCACAGCTCAAGAACACAAGAGGTCCAACAGAGAACCTCTGCACGGCTCAGATGCTCAGGAGAGGGGAAAAAAAGCCACATAAGGCATATTCATATGGGAAAACGGAACAGAAAATGGAAAAAGCACAGATGAAGCCTCTGTTCTAGAAGGATTTCAGCGAGATCCGATCTCTGCGCCATCTCGGTCAGGTCTGACTTCAGAAAAACAGGTGCGACGGAACGCAAGACGCTCAGCCAGCCAAGCAATAAGCTGTCTGCTGGTCTCCAGCGAACTCTTCCAGCCCGTTACGTTATCTGGCCCTCGATGCTGCCAAACTGAAAATGCAATCCCTGTCCATCCCCCTCCCAAAAAAAGCGCTAGCTGAAATGAGAAGAAACAGCCAAGCGGAGCGTGTGAGGGATGCCGAAGTTACAGCAGGAACCTGAGCAGCACGAAGGCTGGTGAACAAGGAAAACACACAAAAGCAAAGATGAAAAAGCAGAAGAGCTGGCGAGGAGAAGAAAGTGAGATGAGGAGAGAGTCAGACAAGGGTGAAGGCAGTACGCGAGGGAGCGAGGTCACAGCAAGCTCCTTTCCGTCCTGCTCTTCACCACCTCCCCTATTCTTGCTGGCAGAGGACACGCTGCAGCTGAGGGACCCCTTTTGGCCCCGTTTCCTTCTGCGTGCGCCCAGATTTCTACCACGTGATAAAATGGCCCCGTTTCCTTCTGCGTGCGCCCGGATTTCTACCACACGATAAAACCTGCTTCCTATTATCAGGATGCTGTCCACTCAAGCCTTTAAAATCAAAGGCTTCCAGCACAACACACACGCACCCGCACGGTGAAAGCCCTTAGGAACAGCAGCTACAATCCTTCATGTACATCTCCCCCCTCTGACGGTGACACGGAAGCCGCAACTCCGCGGTGCGCAAACCCAGGGCGGCGTCAGAGCTCGTGCTATGTTTAACTCGGCGCCGCTGGGCAGCCTGTGGTTCGCCGCCTCCTTTTTTTCTGGAGAAAGGAGAGCAGCCGGGACAGAGCGACGGGGCCACGGCTTCAAATGGAACGTCTGTCTCAAAGCAAGTGCCGTTTCCTCACCTGTGAAGCACTTGCAGATGTCTTCGTGCGTCACGTACGCTAATGTTGCCAAGGTTAAGGAGATGGGCTACGGAAGGAGAACTCGGAGGGCAGCCGGCGTTTCCGGAAGGGTCTTCGCGCTGCGCTCAGAAGCGCGCTCACCGGAGCTGACACCCTAAGGCAAGCAAAACCACGAGAGCAGCTCCACACTCAAAGCGGGCTCTGCGGCTCAGAGGGAAGCGCTTTTCCCGTCACGCTGAACACGACGAGCGTTTTTAACTTCAAAAAGCTGGACAACGAGGCGTACGCCACGGAGTCACCCAGATTTCAAAGCCTGGTGCTGCCTCTTGGCCCTTTCAGCGTGGATCCTCCAGCAGCACAAGGTCACCACCCCTGTCTCTGCCCTGAGCACCGACACAGCCCTCAGGTCAGAGAATCCTAAAAGTTTCAGCTGGAAGAGACCTTGAAGATCATCGAGTCCAAGCTTTTCCCAGCTCTATCAACAACACTAAACCACATCCTTCAACCCAACACCCACCCGTCTGTTCAACACCTCCAGGGATGGGACTCAGCCCCCTCCCTGGGCAGGCTGTGCCAGTGCCCAACAACCCTCCCAGTAAAGAAATTCTTCCCGATACCCAACCTGAACCTCCCCTGACACAACTTTAAGCCACTGATCTGTGTCTCTGCTTCCCAGCCCAGCGAGCAAACGCAGAGACAGAGCGGTCGGTTCGTG